TTCAATTGTTCATGAGCTTCTAGTTATTTTTCAATAGCTTGTTATGCATTAGACACCTCAAGACCTGACCTCTCTATAAAAAAGAGAAAAGATTAGCAAAATGGACTTAATATTACTCAAAATAGTGTAGGTGTTTGGTAGGAATAACAAACCAGCTATTGAAGTATTTTTGCCATTTGCAACTGCACAACTTTTCTCGCTATTGTAGATTGTTGGGCAAGTTCTTCTATTATGACCCAACTCTTGACAATTGCTGCACCTGTTATTGTTGAAAGACGGCCCCCAACTGCTACTATATGCAGTTAATTGCTCCTGTGGTATAAGCCGTGGACATTTTCTTTTAGTGTGTCATCTTTCATGGCATTTTGAACAACTTAGTGGAGTGACTCCTGCTCTTGACAGCTTTATAACTCCATCACTGCTCTTGACAGTTTTCTTAGACCTTCTAAGAAGTCTCATTTTCTTAGGTGGCAGTACAGGTTCCTTGGCCAAGGTTTTCCACGCATTTGGGCTACTTATTGGAGCAATAGTGGACTCATATGCAGCCAAGTATGCCTCTCTTGAATAACACTTGTGTGCATAGTCCTCTAGTTTGCCAGATGCAAGTGAAATACATGCAATAGCATGACAACAAGGCAAGCCTGTGAGTTCTCACCTTCTAAAAGTGCATGTGCACTTGCCTAGGTCCACCACATAGGTTTCTCCATAGATATGTTGTATTTCAAATCTCTTTTCATGTGCATGTGCACTTGTTGTGTAGGTGCCGTACACAATATCTATGCTCTATTCCTGGAATCACTTCTTGAATGGCAGATCCTAAACCCTGCAAGTATAGACCAATAAGCAAGGTCGATTCATTGAACTAGAAAATAAAAAAAAAAACTGTAAGCATAAGCAACAAAATGTTACCTTTTGCCTATCACTAATGAATGTCCAGCTTTTCTGTTCATAAATTGACAAGTCATACTTCAGGAATTTTATGAACCACTTCCATGAACTTTTAATTTCTACCTCCACTATGGCATAGGCAACAGGATAGATGCAGTCATTTGCATCAATACCAAATGCTGTTAACAATACTCCGAGGTGTGGACCCCTCAAGTGACAACCATTCACCCTAATCACACGTCTACAACTAGCTTTGAACCCTCTTTTCAATGCTTCAAAACATATATGCAATTTTAGAAATATCTCCTTACCACTAATTTTATCAATAGAGGTTTCCATATGCACTGTTGTCCTGGGATTACATGTAAGCAGCTTTTCACAATAGTCCCATAACTTTTTGTATTGGTCTTTGTAACTACCATGAATCAACAACTTGGCCTTCATGAAAGTCTTGCTTGCTTGGTCCTTAGTGATGTTGACATTGAGTTCAATGTGAAATTTTTCCTTGAACTATGCAACTGTCACCTTCTTGTTCAGCCTAATGAATTCCATGTAATGTCTACTTAAGAAACCTGAATTGGTCCGCTTGTGATAAAATGTTCTACCACAATGACAATGTGGTCTCCTGGTTCGTATGACAAACGCATCACTATGAGCCTTTTTAGAAGTGTAAATGAACCATTTGCAATTTGATGCCTTGCAATTGGTCCTCATTCTTTTAATATCATTCTTTTTCCATAGAAATACTTTTTTCCATTTCACACCATAGTAATCAATGACTCTCTTGAAGATTTGTTTATCATTGAAAAACAACCCAATATAAAATTTTGGGTCTGCCATGTCAATTTTAGGCCTAAACCTGACATATTTTGGCTTCCTCATTCTTAAACTATCCTCATTCGAGGACTCACAACAGCTATTTAGTTCCTCAATGTTGATTGAGACTGATTCTTCATGCACTGGAATGGGATCTCCATCATATCAGCCCCATCTTTGATGCTTTCTTGTTTGCTTGCTGCTGTTTTTTCTACTACATCATAAGCTGGTTTTGTGGCATTATTTCTACTACCTCGAGTCTCTCCAATAGGTAGTGTTTCGCCTATTTTTGATCAATTTTTAGCTCCTTTTCAACACTAGCAATAGCTTTTTGGAAAATCACATAGTCTTTGTCTTTGCTAAAGTCATAATCACTATCATGAAAACTTTCAACATCGATAGATTCTAATTCTGCATCATCATCAACCTTGCAGGCATCTACTTCCTCAATAAATTAAACTCTCACTGTAGTATCTTCAAAGGTAGTACAGTCGTTGAAGGTTATGTTAACATAACAACAATCTTCTTCTTCTTTTGATCCACTAGACTTGGCCATACCAACATTACACCTACCTAATTTACTCTCCAAGAATCTAATATGGAATTCTTGTACCAAATATAGTTCAACTTCACCAATTTTGCTCCCTATGGCAGCCATATCTGCGACATCATCTTTACTATCTATTTTGCAAAGTTTAAATTCATTCTTTCTACCTAGAAATCTCTAATACAATTGCACATTACCTTCATATTCGAGCAAGGTACAAAAGGAAGAGAGACTGCTCAAACTCACTCGATTTGTAAGGACACCTCAAAGGATTTCATACCGTCCCCTACATACTTTTCTTCTGGTGGTCTAAAATATACCCCACCATGAAATATTTTCAGCATAAAAATAATCCAATTTGTGTCCTGTTTCTATTTTTTTTCCAGAAAAAGACAAAAATATTTTTATTAATTATTCTCCACATGCTCAAACTTTATTCTATCCCTATTTCTAGTAGCCTGAAAGCAACAACATAATGCAATTTTACCAACAAAGGAACCAGATGGGTTAAAGAAAATCGAAAAAGCAACATTATCTCATATCATACCCCACATTCAACCACCCAATTTCCTGGTCTTTCCTACCCATGAAATGGACATGGCGCATAAAATCAAACAATCTTTCAAAATAAGTGAAGAATCAACAGATTATGTAATCAAATCGTCAAAACAATTCACTTCTCAAGTAAAAGTATAAATGATTGGACTTATTGTACTTAATGCTGCTATTTCACCAGCTATATCCTTCGCATTCTTTTACTCACCCAATTGTTCTATCCTTACCGATTCCATGTTATTCAGATCATTTTCCATCATCTGATTCGTGTCCACTAATGCAGAATTCGAACAGCAGCAAAAAGCCCTAAATTGGTTTCGCGCACTTCCTTTCTCAGACACTCTCCTAATTTTTGCCTTTTAATCGTGTTTTTATTTTCTATCAAAGCATTAAAATGATCCTGATGTGATCTACCCAAAAAGTCCTTGAATGGACCGTCGTCTATTCGAATAAAAGACATGTTTGGGGCGGCGCTACGACACATGTCCTTAACTGGCATATATATTTTACTTTGAGGACTAATTACATATAAAAAAAACTTTAAGGGACTAAATTGGCATTATAAAAAATGTTTAGAGATCAAATTGGTGATTTCTTCTAAATTAACAAAAATTTGATGTCTACATTTCGAAGGCCAAATCTTTAGAGATCAAATTAACATATACAAAGTAGAACCTATTTAAAAACACATGTGAACATGGCAGGGTAATCTACCAATCTTTTTGTCAAAGACTGAAAAATTGATACAAAATTTAAGCATTAACATAGGAAATCAATCATTCAACATGATCTGAATGAGCTTTACTTTGCTAAGGATAAAAATCTTTTTACTACCAAGTTTTGAATCTCAAATTAAATGCCAAAACAAGAAATTTCCTATCTTTTTTTTGGTGATTTCAAAAGTTCATTTTTACGTTTAATTCTTTACAAGAAATCAAACAAATCTACTTTGGCACTCTTCATTGGCAAATTTGCACATGATCAAAATTGACAATCGCTGCACAAATCAATATGCTTTCTCAAGATACATAGCCACCAAAAGAAAACACATAGACCATGCGAGACAATTCTGTCTAAGTCAGATTATAGTGCTTGGCCTTTAAAGAGAGTTATAAGCATTCTGCAATCTACTATTGCATGGCCGTCCTCCAGCCTTTTTGTTGAACTTCGTCAAATGTGTATTTCGTAGATATATGATAAATTGCATTTATATGTTCAAAAGTTGCAATTATCAAATGGATTGTTATATATGACAAATTTTGTTCTTTTCCTTGATGAATTCTTAGATGCATGATGAGATGATAGTCTAATTATTAAGGTTTAAGTTTAGAAAATTGCAGAATTTGACTAGGTCATGGCAACATTCAAAAATTTTCTAGCTGGTAGTAAAATTGAAGAAGCAATATTGACGGTGCAGAGGTGGAGAAATAAGTTTAGCGAATCTCTAGTTAAATAGGTTAATTGAATTTGGTGGGTTATCACTTACCCAATTATACCCATTTTATTTATACATATATGTAAAATTTAAGATACTCATACCCAACTATTTATGGGTGTGTATGAGTAGACTTCAATTAAATGGGTCTCTTTGACACCTCTAGATTATAAGTAGGAAATTCTAAATTCAACACCTCTCACTTAAAAAAATGGCATGTGGTGGGCTTGGCAATTGGGAGTGGGGTTTGAGGAAAAACTTCTTCGAGTGAGCAGATATTTTTCTTATTGTTAAGGGGCCAAATGCTAACAAAAATGAATATGCAGGACTAACTGCCACAAATATCTATTCACACGGGGCTGAATTGTCATTTGACTATTTATCAAGGGTCTGATTCACACACGTGACTTTTTTGCAGCATCAATTTAAAATATTAAAATAAAATATATAATTATAATAAAATTTTATAATTATAATAAATTATATATATATGTATATATTATAATATAAATATAAATATATAATATATAAAAATATTAATTATACTAAATATTATGTAATTATAAGATTTTGGAATCACACTTGGGTTTTGGACAAAACTCACCCTTTTACTAAGGAATGGAGGGATGCTAAATTTTTAGAAATCATTCCAAAATTTCAATTCCCATACCAGTGAACCAAACACCAATTATGGAGTTTATTCCATTCCTTCATTCCGATACCCTTTTACCAAATGCCCCCTAAAATGGAAACCCGGAAACCAGAAAACGTAAAAAACTCCGATTTGCCTGTAGAGCGAGCCAGCAGCTAGCCCAGCTCATTCTCGCTCTGAGCCCGAGCCCGCGCCCGCGCCTGATCCCTGACGACGGTCCCTGGCTTCCTAAGCTCTGCTAACCTCAACCGCCACCCGGACCACCGCCGGCGTCGCTACCACCACCACCGGTTTCCTCACAAATTGACGTTATTTCTGTGCATTTCCTACTTCGGTGTGTGTAAATTAGTAATTGGTGAGTTCGCTATTATTTCTAGTGCAGCATTAATATCTGTGCTTTTCTTTTTTCCACTCTAGGTTTCAGTCTGAAATGGAGAATTGGAAGTTTCAGTTGTAGTGTAAGGTAGAAATGTTACCTTTTTGATTTTTTATAGCTTTTTTTTTTCTTTTTAGGAATTTATTTTGCTTGATATTTGGGGTGAAACTAGGGAAACTGAAATGCTCATATATTTTGCCTTTTCTGTTTTCCACTTTTGATTGGTTTAGTATACAGAAAGCATAAAAAGAATGAAAGCATTTTAGCTTAAAACAAGCATTTCTTTCTTTCCTTTTTAAAAATTTTTAAATTTCTTTTTGAATTTATGATCAATTTGCTGGTTTTGCACAATGGGCTAGATAGGAAATGGTGGTTGTCTGGAGCATGGTGTTCCATTTGAAGACTGGCGAGGCTCAGGGGAAGTGGAAGGAGGGCTGTGTTTAATGGGATTGACTAGTGAGAGAGTAGACTGATGTGATGGCCGATTGCGTAGGGGGAGCAAAACTGTAGGGTTCAGCTTTTTGGAGCTAAGTAGCTGACTGATTTTTTGTACAGCCCCTTGCTCACTCTTTAGAGAAAGAGCATTGGGTGGCATGAAGAGCTGAGGCACTAATGTGGTGTTGAAGGTTCTAGCTAGTTTATAAGGTGAGGGTAATGTGAGGTGGGTGGAGAAGGGGAGAAATTTGCTCTGGATTGTAGGAGTAAGGTCACTACAGGAAAGCTATATTAAGGATAGCCTTCTGTCTGGTTATTTTTTGTTTCTTCGGTTAGAGATGCAACTACAACCATAGCGTATACTGTCTTGTACAAATATATTTCCAGATGCAGTGTAAACTCTCGCACCAAAAGAGAGAGGTTCAACTTAAAACACTTAAAAGAAAAATTACGACATTTGAGCAAATCTGCTGGTCCTGCATGAATCTCTTTAAACTCCCCATGTTTATGATTTTCCGATCCTTCTCTTTCTTTCCCTCTGAAGAAGCATTTGTGGAAGATGTCTTGAACATCAAAGACTTTGTATGAACAATAATTCTCATTGGACTAGATTCTACTTCAAGAATTCTTTCAAATCAAAGACTTTGTATGAACAATAGTACTTATTGTACTAGATTCTGATTATCTCTTGTACTATTGGAGGACCTTACTAACTCTTACTGCAGATGTATGAATGTTGTCAAGTCTGCTAGTGGGAGTATTGTCATGCTGTCCTCCACTGTCGGATGGTTTGGAAGCTTTTGCTAGAGGATAACCTTTTTAGGTAGCTACTGAAGTGGGATTTTAGGGTTTCAGATGGAGCATTCACTTAAAAATTGGTGGCTATCTGCGCAATTTATGATTTATATGACATCTATGGAAAATGTATCTTTGAACTTCTAAGCTGTGCCATTATTGTGGCTTTGAGATCCTATTTCTTGATCTCTATGTTTCCTTTAGCATCTTGACTTTTCTGATACTGCCTAAAAATATGTAGAGAGAGTGCAAAGCATTTCCTTTAACAGATTTATATTTAATTCACCTACAAGTTCTCATCTGTCTTTACTTTTTCATCTTGTTGATAATTTCTGGTATTCATAAAGGATAAAGAATTCATCCAACAAGGAAGAAGAAAGCAATATAAGTTTCTGAGAAGTTTCATTTGCATTCAAGAGGATTGATTACTGAGCTTTATCATATGAATTTCCTATGTTCACATGATTGCATGCAATAGTACTGTGTTTCCACATTTTTCCTATTCCGGCTACCAAAATTTGTTGTTCCCTTGTAAACTCTTAATCGGCTATAGTTGCATAATTAACTCTTAAACACACAGCAAAAATTCCTCAAGACACTGCCGCACGGCCTCTTGCTGTTGCTAATGCATTTGCCGCTGCTTCTACATATTCAGCTTCATCTTCTTGAGAAGGAAGGTGATGTTGACGGAGGCTGCAAGGCCCCTATGTATAACATTTGGTTATTTCTGCATGCTTATTTTTAATGCTGACTTCAATGGATGGATTGATAAATTCATGGTACAGCTTGGGTGCAAGTTGACACTAACTTTTTTCTAACTCTCTCTTTCTTCTCTCTTCTCTTTGCTTCTTGTTCGGTTGTTTATGAGTGGTTTCTTTCAGCATAAGCAGGAGGACAAATGTCGGATGCACTGTTAAGTTTAGTTGCTTGGATAAGATTTTAGTCGCCAACCATTCGTTTTACATGAATAGATGTGAGACATAGATGCCTGAGTGAGAGAATATGCCAATGTCCTGATACATTCACTCAGGTCAATGGATGATGAAGTTGTTGAAGTTGTCCATGTAGACCGAGAGAAGAGGCAAAAAAATGGTGAATCGCACACTCATATTAACCATGATAGAAAGAAAAATCTTCCGGGGAATTCTGCTGAAAACGAGAGAAGCTGTCAGGTTGAAAATGGAATTGAGAAGCCGTATGTGGGTATGGAGTTTGAATCTGAAGAAGCTGCCAAGAGCTTTTATGATGCATATGCAAGGCATGTGGGTTTTAGCACACATGTTGGGCAGTACAGCCGTTCGAAGCCAGATGGACCAATTGTTAGGTGGGATTTTGCTTGTTGCAGAGAAGTTTTTAAAAGAAAAAATGTTGAAACCTGTAACGCTATGCTTCGGATAGAAAAAAAAAATTCAGATAGTTGGATTGTGACTAAATTTGTGGAGGATCACAACCATTCTACAGTGAATCCTGGAAAGGTGCATTATCTCAGACCTCGAAGGCATTTTGCTGGTGCTACTACGAGTGCAGCAGAGACACTTAGTAGCCAGAATGACCTCATGATCTCCACTAATGGAAATAACGTATATTATGAACTTACTCACCGTGCAAGTTGTGTCTCTCCAGTAGAAATAAGTGTTCCAGTGAGAAATCTTAGCCCTCTTATGCCCATAAATTTTGTTCAACCCTGTGGGCAAAAAAGGACTCTGGGAAGAGATGCTCATAATCTCCTCAACTATTTCAAAAAGATGCAGGCTGAGAATCCTGGCTTCTACTATGCTATACAGCTTGATGATGACAATTGTATGACTAACATTTTCTGGGCTGATGCAAGATCAAGGACAGCATACAGTCACTTTGGTGATGCAGTTATATTTGATACCATGTATAGACCTAATCAGTTTCAGGTTCCATTTGCTCCTTTTACTGGGGTCAATCATCATGGTCAAATGGTGTTATTTGGTTGTGCTTTAATTTTGGATGAGTCTGAGTCTTCATTCGCATGGGTTTTCAGGACATGGTTATCTGCAATGAATAATCATCCTCCTGTTTCAATGACAACTGACCAAGATAGAGCCATCAAGGCAGCAGTTCATCAGGTATTACCAGAAACTCGTCACTGCATTTGTAAGTGGCATATCTTAAGAGAGGGCCAGGAAAGGTTGGCTCATGTGTATTTAGCTCATCCTTCCTTTTATGGAGAACTTTATAGCTGCATCAATTTTTCTGAGACAATTGAGGATTTTGAGTCTTCATGGAGCTCCCTCCTTGACAAATACAATCTCTGGAAAAATGAGTGGCTTAAAGCTGTATATAATGCTCGCCAGCAGTGGGCCCCAGTTTATTTTCGGGATTGTTTTTTTGCTGCATTTTCAGCAAACCATGGGATAAGCTCCTTTTTTGATGGGTATGTGAATCAACAGACCAACCTTCCAACGTTCTTCAAGCAGTATGAAAGGGCTTTAGAAAATTCCCTGGAAAGGGAAATAGAAGCAGATTTTGATACGCTTTGCTCCACACCTGAACTGAAGACACCATCACCAATGGAACAACAAGCAGCAAGCCTGTATACAAAAAAGATTTTTGCGAAGTTCCAGGAAGAACTTGTTGAAACTTTTGTTTATACTGCCAATAAAATAGATGGTGATGGTGTGATAAGCAAGTTTAGGGTTGCAAAATATGAGCATGATGACAAAGCATATATTGTCACATTGGATATTTCTGATGTGAAAGCAGATTGTAGCTGTCAGATGTTTGAGTACTCAGGCATTGTCTGTAGACACATTTTGACTGTTTTTACTGTGACAAATGTGCTTAAGCTTCCAGCCCGTTATATACTGAAGAGATGGACGAGGACTGCCAGACTTGGATCTGATGACAGAGGTGCAGATACGCAGAGTATGGAGTCTCTAACGTCTCGTTTCAACAATCTATGTAGGGAAGCACTGAAGTATGCAGAGGAAGGGGCAATTTCTTCAGAGACCTATTGTACTGCATTGGGTGCATTAAGGGAAGGTGCAAGAAAGATTGCTGTGGTGAAGAAGAATGTTGCCAAAGTTAGACCTCCTTCATCTCAAGGGAGTGGGCATTTTCAGGATGAGATTAATAAGAAGACACCTTTACCAACTTCTGATGCGTGTCCACCTCTACGGCCATGGTCAGATATGTTGCCACATTGCTTGAACCTGAATGATGTTGGTGTCCCTCTTGCTGATTCGAATCAACCATCCACGGGTCCTGTGACTATTAACCGTGAAGGAAGCCCTTCTGATAGTCCTGTGTGTACTGGCGCCTTTACAGTTTATTTTATCAAAATTTTGTTAACAATTAAAAGCACAACTAATGTGGATTATATCAACTCGTTCTCTTAAGTACTTCATTTCATGCATGCAGGTTGTTCTCACTTGTTTTAAGTCTATGACATGGGTTATAGAAAACACAGATCCGGCCAATAAAGTAGCTGTCATTAATCTGAAGGTTTGATCTCTTGTCCCTGGACTTAGACTCTAGCTTGGGAGACTGCTGTTTTTTCTGCTGTTATTAGAAGGAAAAGTGGACATGATAGTGCGCCAATTAGCAATTATGGATAAGTTGATTTTTAGGATGCAGTTGTAAAAATCTTCACAAATCAGAAGATAGGAGAGGGAACAATAAGATCTAGAAGTAGAAACTTTGAGAAATCAGAATTAACTTTAGACATAGAAGCAAGAACTTTGAAAATAAGGACTTGAAGTAAGAAATTCTAGGGATGCCACCTAGATTTCCTTGGGGAAGACCCAAAAGGCAAAGCTACTTTCAGTTCTCTAAGAAGGACAGCACTGGATAATAAATTCAATTCAACAAAGTTCTGTGTCATTCATCTCTACTAATGTACTGCAACTGACATATATATAGAAAAAAAAAAAATATAAGTACCTTTAGGACTAAATTTGATGCTTAGAAATCCTAATAAATAAGAAAGATAAAGCTAATAAATGTGAAAGCCAAACTGGACTTGAACCCTTAAGCGTAGGCAGCCAAATTTGACCTTAACAGCATAAGTTTGATTTGATTGGACAAAAGCCTTGATACTTTTAACTTGCCTAGGATGACTCGTGCCTTCAGCACTTAACATCTGTTGGCATTACAAAACTGCCTTCAAACACCTAGAATTCTAATGGAGCATTACTAGTAATACATCCTAGTTGACCTAGATGATTGGAAAAATTGCTCTGTAACAGCTAGGTATAATTCGGTGGAATTGCAAAAGTTACCTTCTTTCCTTCTTTTCATCTTTGCTCTCTGAATCAGGACCTGTTATTCATACTGAAAGTTGAAAGGTATAACAGTTTATACTCATTCATGCTAAAAATCAAAAGACATAACCATTTACAGTCTTACTTTCTTACGGTTCAAAAAGCATTGGTGCAGTTGGATTCAACTTTAAACTGATGCTCCATTGTGTCAAATGTTAGAGAATCAGGATCAGTATCTCAAGGACATTAACACATGAAAGGTGTCTTATTGTATAACCCAGGCTCTTATGCATGAGATGACATATCTCCCTTTGCTCATCTAATAAGTCCTTTTGTATGTAATTGAAACATATTTACAGGTATATCAATAGCTGTTGATTCGTTACTAATACAATGTTGTTGTGCATTTTTGTGTAGTCTTATACATCATACATGTAGAATTTTACAAGGTGAAATTTATCCTAGTTGTTGTAGCATGTTATAAAGTGAGATTTATCCTAGTTGCTGTAGCATGTTAATTTTTGAAGAGGTATACAACAATTCTAGACATGTTTCTTGCACAAAATAATAAAATGGAGTAAGAGGCTGATTAATTGGCTGTATAAGATCTGTTGGCCATAACTAACGTCTAGTGGGTGCTGCTGCTTGAAATTGGCAAGTGCATCAGAGGTTGTCTGCTCTTAGGCTATGAATTTTGTGACGACCTTAAAATGTTGACACGATGATTTGTTCCCATTGGTTTTGACTATCATGTATTTGACAGGGTGAATATGTACTGGATGCATTGCTTTTGATTTGTTCTACATATCAATTAACATTAATCTGCATTTCTGTCTTGATTATGTTGCAGCTGCAAGATTATGGTAAGACTCCTTCAGGAGAAACAGATGTGCAGTTTAGACTTACAAAGGTCACACTGGAACCAATGTTGAAATCCATGACATATATTAGTCAACAGCTTTCTGCGCCAGCTAATAGGGTTGCTGTCATCAATTTGAAGGTTAGCTTTATAAATTCTTGAAATCAAAAAACAATGGAATGATTTAAGTTTCTCTTCTATGTGGCTACCCTTTTTATGCTTTTTTTTTTTCCTTTGGGTGCCAAATTGTAAATTAGTAGAAGCCAATATAGATGCCTGGTGGTCCTGCATGCCTTTGGTAAAACAGAGCATAAAGTTTGTTGTTAAAGGTATTCACTGAGTGCTGAATAGAATTGAGGAAGATTTTATACAAAATATTCAAGAAGGATAGTAAAGGTTCTAGAATGTTTATATTTGATTTTGGAAGTTGGACATGAGATAGATGAGATGTCTGATACTTACACTGAGATTGCTTGCAGAACCAGGCTTGATTTTGCATGATGACAACCCGAGCATTGTAATTACTGAACATGTATAAGAATTGTTGTTCCTACAGTTCTACTATTGTAATTCTCTTCCATGAGGATGTACATTGGGACATGTTTCCATCTGTATCATGAGGTTCATGGAAATTTCTTTCCAAAAAAAGGTATACAGCAACGTATAACTGGGATTGTTGTACATGAGACAATCTTCCAGTTACAGGTCCTTGTCTCAGAAGCAGATCAGCATCCTTATCATCTTGCTCCATGCTGTGCTCTGCTGACATGTCATCTTTATTGTTTATTTCAATGATTCCCTTCTCCAAAAATACTTGGAGAGTTGGATGATGAGAAGTTTTCAACTGTACATCACCATCATGAATGATAACATTTTGATTTTCTTCCAGCAGCTGCAATAGCAGCTTTTTTGTTTCTCAATCTGTCCTTAAATGTTACTTCCATGCAAGTTGTCATGGTGCTGTATTTGCTCTGATAACAGTTTTTTTTTTCCTTTGAGCACCAAATCTAGGCTCGTTGGTGAATATAAGTTTGCCCATAGACTCTAAACTTTTTAGGAAATTGCTTTATTAAGTGCCTTAGAGTGTTAAGGTCTAAATGCAGCATTTTATGGATATAAAAAATTGGTATGTTGTGTAGAGAAGTTGAGATGCCTTTGTCTTACAGAGTAAGTATGCAGCAAAAGAGACATTTACAAGCAAATAAGTTGCAGACATTTAATGAAAATGAATTAATGCTGCAGGGATTAGGTGTCTCAGCCTTCCCACAAAAAGAGAGTGGAAGTTTATTTATGATTATTGCCATCGTAACATAACCTGGTCCATTGATCTCGTAGGAAACAGTTTTGAAGACTGAGTACTTGATCTCCAGGCAAATGTTTTGTGTCATAGAGAATCTTGGCTATGAAGCTGTGACAGCAGATGAAAGTCACTTGTACAGCAGCTTTATCATATGCTATGCTGCAGCGAAGTCACAAATTGAATACCTATGTGCCGTACTTGTTATGAAGCCCTTATATGATGTGCAATAATAAACACAGGCACAAAACCTGCCTAGCAAAGCACGGTTTGAAATTTTCTGTATCAATTCTGAGTTGTAAGCATGCCAAGACAAATGAACACTTTTGCTTTAGAGTTCAACTTTCTCCTTTTTTGTGACATTTTCCAAATCTTATGTCCTTGTTTGTATTAATAGTGTTAAAATTTTGTACATTGTCCAAAGATGCATCTAAAATTTTAAGTGCTCAGAAGTGTTTACCCTAGTCAATGAGTTTCTGCGTAATGAACACAGAAAGGCTGAGATCTTTGGGATGAAGAACTTGAACCTGTGTAGTTGAGACAATAGAACCTTGACGGTCAATAGTGCTAGACATCTGCCACATGGTTTGTTCTTTTCACAAGAATTTGGCTCAAGGGTTCACAGAATGACGAGCAGAAACCTTGGACTAATTTTAAATTCAAATTGAATTTATGGTTTTGGGACTTGATTATTTATAGGATTCAGGGAAACTGGATAAAAGCTATTGGAATCATTTACTTATCTATAAACACACAAAATAGAAATAACAGATTATTTGGTGGTAATTGGATGTAACACAAAATGAGGGGCTTGAAAAAATATAGGAACCTCAAATTCAGAGGAAACTGAGTACAACTGCATTCATAAACTATTAATCCTGAGACTATTGAAGTCCTGTGGCATTAATAATATTTTGCATCAAGAACAAACATGACTAAATGTTGGAGAACACTCTTTTTCTTGGACAATCCAATGTTCAATTTTGCATATAACTTGACACAATAACATAATAGGTCCACTTCTTGATTTTGAAAATTGAGATCTTGGTGTTACGATGTTAGGTTTTGGACATCAAGGATTCTTGTCACTCTGTGAACTGTACAATATTGTGCATTTTCTTGTTTGTTTATTTTGACATTTGTACATAGTAGAAGTTGGTATAATTAAGGACAAACATATTTCCTACATGCAGTTCTGTCTTTCATATAGGTCAACAAAGTAGAGAGGAAGAAATTGTTAGCCTTAAAAGACTCGCTCATGAAGATTTTGATGCTTTATAGTTGGTAGTAAATCTAAGGTCACAGTTGATCATTTACTGCATGATAAACAACAGTCAACAATAACCAGTGAACCGTGGTAGTAGAATTCATCAGGGCTGCCTTTTGCCCTTGTGTAATAGGTGTAAAAGTTGGGAGGATTTGAAAGTATGTAGGGTGCTACTAATGGTGAAATCCTTCTGCAGTCCCATTGCATATAGGTGTGAAAGTTGGGTGGGAGGATTGAGAAGTGAAATTCTTGAGAATGGTGGCTTGACACTATTAATTGCTAGAATTTCAACGGTTCTTGGCAGGTGGTTAAGATTTCAGGAGGAGATTAATAGTACAACTTATCTGCTGGACCTTGTTTCAAAGAGGAGCAAGAATATTAGAAAAAACTTAAAAATGTCAATTCTGAGACACCCTTTTGCTTTCAGATAAATGCCCGCTACTAAACTAAAATTCTATCTTGTGTTGATTTTATTAATAGGGCTCCTCATTGTATAAGATAACTACTTGTTTATCTTATTTTGTTCCCTCTTGCTGCCTCTTAACAAAATCATCGCCTTCTCAACGAAACGGAAAAAAAATAAAATAAAATGAGTTTATCAACTAAGTTGACACAGAAATTGCGTGAAACAAAAATCTAGGCCGCTATAAGATATGTACCAAATAACTTTATTTCCCTGTTTATTTCCCTTTTGATATTGAGTGATTCTTCACATCATGTTATGAATAATATTTTAATATCCAAATTAAATATTCTGTTATTTTTATGCATGTCAGCTCCAGGATACCATGACAACTACTGGTGAAACAGAAGTGAAATTTCAAGTCTCAAAAGACACGTTAAATTCCATGTTGCGATCAATGGCTTACATCCGTGAGCAACTTTGAGTTTGTAAGTAGCGTTCTCTGCAAGTTCCTTCTATTTCATTGCTAGAGTTTCTTTTGGGAGCAGTTTTATTACTTGCCAAAAGCTAGGCCAATTGTCTACCTAGTGTTACGGTTGCTTGGGCACTGCAGATAGCTTTTGTCTGATCTGGATGAATTTTTCATCCCATGTAACTTTCCCTCTACAACTAGAATTCTATGTGCTAGTTGACAATGCTGCTCCATCATCTTATTTGGGGATTTGGACAGACATATTGCTCTTGAAGGGCATAATTGATAAAAGAAATTTTGCATTATGTGAAGAGGACTGCAAGATATTTTAGCAATTCATACACAAGTAATTTAAAACTTGCCTGCAAGTAAATTTGCAGAAATAGAAACAAGTTCAGTAAGATTTCAAGGATTTGTCACAGGATCTAACATGACAGAGTGGCCTGAGTAATTGAAAGTTTAGCATTTGAATCACTCTGATTATCTTAGCTATGTCAAGTACCTCGGTTTAAGGGTGTATCTAGGTTGAACTCTACTCTGATACTAGGCTTTCTACATTCATCTCTTAAACCTTCCTGGGTGAGCTTTGAATTCGTCAAGTGTCCTAAAGGTTAATTTACTTATAAGCAAACCATCTTTCTTTCGTGAATAGCCGTTAATTCCTGCTGTACCATTAGAATGAGTTTATTGTGATATCTTTGAGAGCAGTTTTTTAACCAACTTACGTTGATAGATGGGGAGTTATGATTCCATTTAATCTTATCTTGGTGAGGCAACATGGATCAGTATCATTTATAGCCCTGTCAAGTACTGAAACTATGTTAAATGTTGAATCTCAGCAATAATTTTTTAGTGTGGAACTAAGACCTGTTCTGTGATAGTTTTGATTAAATTTGTAATTTGTTTCCATTTCCAGATTTTTTCTTTATGTTAACCATCAGATTAATACTATGGAATATATGCATTTGCAGGATAAAATTCAGAGATTAGACGTAATTTGGTATATAGACTACAAGTAACAATCTGAACATGGGACTGCCTAGTCTTTATGTCCACAAGGCCAAAGCCTGATTTCCATGGTTTTTCTTTTTGGGTCAAATGCATTGTATATTGGGAGGAGGACTAGAATCTTGGACCTCACATAGGGATTTTATAAGATGTCTGGATCTTGTTAAAGTGGGAGGTATATATGTATTGTAAGAGGGAAGTTGCCTTCTCAAATATTTACTGGCCTACTTATTTGTGTTATACGAATACAAAGCTTGATTAAGATGAATATTATTCTGATTATTAAAGCTTCATAAGTTAATTATTGAAAGCCTATTCCGTCATTCTGGAATTTCTGGGATTATGAAGTTTTACTGGAAGTTGCATCTGTTGGAAAAACCTTTGTATGTGAAGTTATGAAGGGAAACAGATAGCTGATAGGATCTTGCATGCGTGTGGTGTTTGTTGTGTCTTGGGACTTTAATCCTTATGATACCGCTCTATAAAAGGTCATAGTAGCTTTTGTTTTTCTGGGCAGTTTGATAGTCCAAAGCATTAAGAAAGTAGATTTCTTGCTGGAATTAGCAAGTTTAGTTGTTGAGGAAAAGGGATTTCACTTGGCTGGTACTTCATAGCGAAAATTGCTGCACAAGTATAACAATGGTGGCACTAAATCTCTCTCACTCTGATATCAAGGCAACAGTTTCCAGCTCTTAGTTTCTGCTGTCAGCTTAGGTTTTCTTGTTTGTGTAGTCGTAATCAGAAAGGAAAACTGCTTAGGTTGATGTTATATTTTATGTGAGAAAATTCTGCATTTGAACAACTTTTTCCTTTTCAGGTTTAGTAATTTTGCGCAGCTGTTCATCCTGGCTACTTTGTCATCCATTTCTGTTATCATTTTCCGACTTCGCCTCCAGCTCTCTTCCTCTCTTTGTTTTTTATCCTCTCATTCTAATCTCTTTGCTTTTGAAGCGTGATCAAAGCCTCAGTCCTTTTAGTTTTGTCATGACACTCAATGATCTTGTCACTCAATGGATCATAAGTTAACAAAAACAAGGAGAGCAGGCATTCATTTATTGTTTTCATGCCAAACCATTTATTTCTTCCTGGGAACACATCTCCCAGGTGCCCATGTAATCCAAAGTTGGGAGATGCTTGGTTTCGCAGCATGGAAGGTCTTATGATTTTTGACTTAAAACTCCTGTTGAGCCTACAGTATGTGACCTGAGGCTGGAATTAGACTGATATTAGTGCTATAAAATGTTAGGAAGTCCATTTAATGCATACATAACATTGCTTTGGAATGAAAAGATAGGATTCAGAAGCATTTGGAAGTCAAGCAGGATGTCTTGCTTTTCATGGAAAGTCCTGTTTAGACATGGAGCTTTTGTGTTTTTTAATAGTTCTTTGGACCTTCCACTAGAATGCAGTTTCTGTAATGTTGGTATGCTCAACATTTTGTGTACGTCTTGAACACAGGATTAAATCTTGCATGCAGAGAACAGAAACTGTAGTCTCCCCGCTGGTGCTTCATGTGGCCGTCCTTAAATAATATGAAGAAGTATTAATGTCTCCCCGCTAGTGCTTGTGTAAAGCAGCAGGGAAAAATCAAAGCATGTTTAGGTCTGTGGAGATAGCTTCTAAACCTGTTAAATATTGTGTTTTGTCAGATGAAACGTTGACTTTTGAGGTCCATTCTAGCAGGCCGCTGGAGGATTTTTCGTGTTATACTCAGTAGCATGTGAATGTGATGTCACTCTCTTGCAGTTCTACGTGCATGATATGGGTCACTTCCTTGGGCAATTGCTAAATTTTCAATATCTCAAGTAACTGCTTTTGATTGATTGTGGATAAAAGGTCTATTATGACAAGGTTTATTTTGATAGCTAAAATTATTATGTCTATGACCTTGACACCTTGCTTATTTCGCTGCTGCATCAGTCAATTAATTTCCTATCCTCTCATAGCATTATAAGAAATATTGTTTGTTGACATGAAGAGATGATATTTTATAGGTGCAGAAGACCTTTGAGTGATTGTTGATTATCTACCACAAGCAAAGTGACGAGGTGAAAGAGCTTCTGCTGCGCACGAAGACGAAAAGATATGCATTGTCCTAATGCAGTTGCTCATTTTGCTGTAATCGCTCGTGTGCTTTCATCCGGTTCAATCCCTGCTGTTTATTCTAATTCTAGTCACAGGTTGTCTAACTCAGTTTCTAGCTGCGTAACCTATCTTTTGACTGTAAGAAACTTTATGGAAACATTTGTATATGGAATTTCTGAAAACCTAGTCCAAGCTTGGTTGCAGAATATTTGAGGTTAGCATTAGATTGTAGTATAGGTCTGGTTATTTGTAGATAGTGAGGTCATCCTCCGTGTAGTGTAACTGATGAAGTTGGTACAGATTTAGCCAAATTTATGCAAATTCAGTTTCCTTCAATCCCTGTTTTATTTTATTTTATTTTATTTTTGGGGCAAATTCCATTTACACCTTGTGGTTAAGCACTTCTAGCAAGCCACCCGCATATACAACCCCCCCCCTCCCCCTCTCCTCCCCCCCCCCCCCCCTCTTTTCTTCCCGCCTTTTTGGGTTTAAGTGGAACTAGGTGAAACTGACTACACTAACAGTGCGGTCCAACGGTGAAGTATACAAGTTTTCTTTTTCTTTTTTCGTTTCTTTTATCAATAATAATAAACATTTCTGTGGTCAAATTAGAGTTTTTAAAATTTTTGTGGGTCGAAATGAAAATTTCAAAACTGTTCATCTCCCAAAACCAATCTGACTTCGTTGCTGCAACTTCCTCAGGTGGCGGTCAGCCACCTTTGATCTCTGTCGGCCACCACTTGGTTATTTTACAAAGAAAATTTAGTTCCCAATTCCATTTTTCACTATCAGGATTTGCACCTTGTTTACAAGAACGATGGAAGATCCAAAAAATGTTTAAACAATAAATGGACTATTTTAAGAATAAACAAGCAAAACAAGAGAAATTAAAGGAGATTGCAAATTCTTTAGAATTCACTATAGAATATGACCATTTGGTGGATCATATGCACAAGATCCAAATGAAATATAAATTTCAAAGAAAGTACAAATATTCAAAGGGTTGTCGGCCACAATAAAAGATGAAGTGACATAAAGAGGTCAGCCAATTCAAAAGAAATTCAAAAGAAAGTATAGGCATGACTTACTTGTTAGTAGACGAAATTGTGGATCAAATATTTGAAGAAAGCTTAAAATTGAATAAGCTATTAGCAACAAATGGAGAACCACTTCATGTTACTTACAATTTACAAAAGGGCTGTATGTAATAATGATTACTGTTTTCTATAAAACATTATTTTATTATAGTAAAAAATAGGGCAAAGAGTCCCAGTGGCCCTCAAACTATTAGCCGGATGAACTTTTGGTTCTCAAACAATTAAAAGTAAATTTTTGGCTCCCGATCTATCCAAAGTACAAAATATTAGATCTTTTGTCAAAATCAGCAGTTAATACTGATGGAATCTACGACCACGTGAAACGCACACCGAAATACCAAGGGCATTTTTGTCCACAATGAACTGTGTTCCACTCGGTAAAATGGAGCGAAAAATAATTTTGACCAAACGGTTTACTTTCACCACTATCTCTCCCTCTGTCTGCCATTATCGGCTACTACTGCAACTTCCCCACTACCAGCACCGTGGAAATGATGAATATAAAAATGGCTGTTTTGAGAGTGAAGCCAAACAAAGCCCACATGCAAAAGGCACTGCAGAGCATAGCCACCAATCCAAAGCCTAAAAGGGGTGGTGGGTCTCTCGGTGACGGTAGTCAAAAGCACAAAGGCAGCCACCAATACAAACCCCAAGTTCCATATCAAATCAAGAATCACGAAGGGCCTTGAGAACGAACATTCTTGGCCTACTGGGAGTGATGGGCCACGGCCACAGTCATCCTCATGCTCCTGCCTCTCATCATCATCATCGTAATCATTGAAGAAAATCCTGTGGTGGTTCAAGGTGGCCTGGAGAATGTGGTGGCTATATTGGTGGGGGCCCTTGTGTTATTGTTGGAGCTGCTTCTGTGGCCATTCTAAAGAAGAAGCAAGCCTTGCTACTGGTTCTCCAGGTCCATTTATAGGGATGATAAAATTTTGGTGGCTGCAATCTACTCTTTTGCCCAATGAGAGAGAGCTGGTGCGATCGGTGGCGGTAGTGAATTTTGTTTTGTTTTGAGAGATACGGTTATAGTAGCAGTACAGCAAAGAAATGGTTTGTTGGTCGACTCTGCTGCACTTTGGGAAGTGGGGGCCTACTGAGGACTGAGGAGAGACAATCAATCACCCATCCGTGCAATTCTCCATTTTGTAGCGACTTTCCTTTCTTGTCTTCTTACTTCTTCTTCATATGCATCTCTTTGCTGTTCAGCTACATTAATTCTTTTCAGCAGCCCAGGTATGATCTCCGTTGACCGGCTGCACATCTCCTTGTCAATCCACTGCTAAAATCTGCAGCCACCATCCGTGTACACCGCAAATCTCTGCCCAGGATTTCTTGAGGTCCACGAAATTCTGACCTTCGACATTTTCTCACACCTGTACAATGGGAAAGGCAGATTGTTGGTTTCTCGCATGCTTCCAGTTCAGCAACTTCTTTGGCTGCAATGGAGTTTTTCTTTGTTCAAGTTCGGGAAGGAGTCCCATTTTACCGAGTGGAACACAGCTCATTGTGGATAAAAATGCCCTTCGTATTTCAGCATGCGTCTCACGTGGTCGTAGATTCCGTCGGTATTAACTGCTGATTTTGACAGAAGGTTTAACATTTTGTACTTTGGATAGATCGGGGGCCAAAAGTTTACTTTTAATTGTTTGGGGGCTAAAAGTTCATCCGGCTAATAGTTTGAGGGCCACTGGGACTTTTTGCCCTAAAAAATATAGCTCCAAATATAGTATTAGGTACTCCTTTTCTTATTCAAATTTATCCATTTTCAGTACACTTTGAGAGAATTCATACAAAGATAACGGGAAGAACTATTGCATTTAAATTTTTGACTCCAATGAAACAAAGAGAACTTAAACTATTACAATCCTCTTGTATATGTGTGTGTGTGTGAGACAATAAATCAAATTTAGTATGTTAAAAGACAAATAAACTATGTAAAAGAAGAAAAATCTTATTTGCATATAGAAGAACAACTTCAAAATGATAATATTCAGAAATTTTATTAGTAGTTTCATTAGCTCTTTCACAATATTTTGTTGGTATTAATCCTTCTTTAATGCAATTTTGATCTGCTCCACTATCTAAAAAAGTTATAAAAGTTTCTTTAAAATCTTCGACTGTAATAGTTACCATGACATACCATTTTTGAAATATTAATTGTTCTATTAATTTTAAATACTATTCATTGTTAGGTTTATCTGCTATTACTATCTCTTGATTGTTTTTAGAAGAATTTGAGGTTGAAGGTTTTGTTACTAAGGTTAATGTTAATCTTGTTTCTATTTCTAAGTCTTTTGTTTTTAATTCTAAAATTTCATTTTGTAATTGTCTTATTAATTTTCTTAAATCATTAATCTCTTCTTGAAGATTTTTTGTGGTATCCTTTCTAACGTTAGTAACAGATGAATATTTATCTAATAAGTTTGAAATACTAAAAGGTTTTTTTATTTATGGTAATTTTCCTTCTTGAAGTATTACATCTTTTAACCTAGTTAAGTATTCCTTGTTTGCTTTTGGATCTATATTTTTTCTATAATATCTAATAAAAAATTTTTATCTTCTTTTTTAATGATTACATTTAAGTATTTTGTAGGAAAGTGCAAGGAACTTTAGATTCATTTGAACTACTCAAATCATTATAATTATCTTATGTTGAATAATTTTCTTCTTCATTTACTAATAGTGCCGTTAAATTGTCCTTAATATCATTATCTGCAAATAAGTCATTAATTTTTTGTTTTAGTTAACATTGATCTGCTTATGACCATATTTTCCACATTTCTAGCAAGTATTATTAAATTTAATCATTTTCTTTCCCTTTTTCTAATATTTACCCTTGCTTCTTTTGTTTTTGGGATTTTTATATTTTATATATCTTTTTCACTTTTTAAGGTTCTTTTTATTTAGTGAGGAAGGAGACTTAATCCCTTTTATTCTAAAGGTTTCACAAAATGTCCCTACTTCTTTTCTTTCTGATCCATATTTCATTTGAATCTTTAATTCAGGACACAATGCTAATCCTTCTTTTTCAATGAATGCAAATAATTGTCCAAATGTCATATTTTCAAATGAAACTACTTTTGTTCCCATTTATTTTTGCAAATTGTTCATTGTTCTTTGAGAAAATAAGTCTAGTAACCCTATAACAAATCTTTCTTTCCAGAATGAAGCATTACAATCAGGTCTTCTTAATACTTGAGTTAAAAATGTATCTTTATATCGTCTAAAATCTATTAATATAGGACATCTTAAATTTGTTAAAAATACTTTTGAACATTTAATTTTCTTTTGGATTTCCTACAAAATACATGGCTATAGTAACTACTAAAAAATCTGTCACATCTGACTGAGTTTGAATATTTCCCTGATTGTCTTCTACTTCTATTGTATGATCTACTATGACAACTTTATCTTGAAGTCCTAGTGCATTATCCCACAAATTTTTTAATTGTCCAGTAAATCTAGATATTAATAAATTTGCAATATGTCTTTCGTTTATGTTAGTAAAATTTTTGGGTCAACCCATGAACTGATTTGGTAGAAAAAGGCTCAATTTTATTATGCCTGTGATTTGTTCGATGAAATGTTTAGGTGAATTCTAGTAAAGAAGAAGGGGTATTTGAAATCCTTCATGTGATTGTAGGAGTGGAGAACTCTGGCTAACCTAACACTGGCTCAAATCTACGAGTTTTTAGGCGCAACTAGAAAAAGAATTGGAGTGCTATAGTGGTTGATTTTCTTTGTTTTGTTTTTTGTGATGGTACAGAATCAGATTACAACAATGGCAGAAATATCACAGCAACCAATATGAACTTAACTACAACAGAAATTAATGGAACAGAGAGTTTGAGAATTCAAAGATGAACTCAACTTTTCATTAATGAATTTCAATAACGACTTACAAGAATAAAAAGTATGGATTCGGAGTAGACGGGGAAAGGGATGAAGGAAAACATGGGAAGGAGAAATGAGATTGGCAATGCCAAATCTTCTTACAACCAAATCTAAAAAAATGACGAAAGTTACAAAAGCTCCCCATGCTTATATCATTTCCTAAGCTAACTAACTTCCGACGTGACCAACGAGCTTAAGACATGGGTCCCTCCCAGAATCTTCAGCTGCAGTGGTCCTCAGCTCCTGTAGAATTTACAGATTTCTAGTAAAGGCATGCTCCTAAAATCACGCCTTCCTTCAACTTCTTACTATTTCACTCTCCACGCCTTTGTTTTTGTT